ATTCAGGTTCAGATGGACTGTTTGCTGGATCTAGCAGGAACGGTGAACTGGTGCCATGGTTAGGGCTCTCCTCTGATGCCCCCGGGGTGATAGAGTCCTCAGCTTTGTTGCTACTGCTCTGGCTCCCCGGGCTCACTGAACCTGTTTGGCTGCTGCTTCTCGGTGAAGTGTTCATCTGCCCAGGTTCAACTACAGCTGGTGAGTATTGCAAGCTATGGTGTGGTGATCTCGGTGTTAGGTCAGAATAAACAGGTGTTGGTTCTATTTCTGGGCTCATGGCTTCCCCTCTCCCCCTGGTGTCAGAGTTAGGGTCAGGTGTGGAAGTTGTGGTCAGTCTGGAGCGTAGCTGGTCAATATGGCGTTTCCATGCTCTGCCATCAGTGGTGAGTAGACGGTAGGAGCAGGGACCCGTAACTTGAGTTACTTGAGCAGGAATCCAGAGGGGATCCCCAGAAATTTTTTTTGCTAATACAAGGTCTCCTACCTTAAAGGCACAGTGCTTGCTGCTGGAACCCAGGGGCTTTTCCGGGGTGTAGGCAGGGTGCAAGTGGTCTAGAGGTGATCTGAGTTTCCTGGCTATCAGGAGTTCAGCTGGGCTCTTGTTGGTCATGCTGTTTGGAGTGATGTGTTGAAGGAGCAGCATTCTAGTGTCTTTGTCATGGATGTTGCCTTGTTCCATTTTCTGCAGGGTTTTCTTTGTGAACTGAACCATTCGTTCAGCCCTACCATTCGCCGCTGGATGAGCTGGTGATGTGAGTGTGTGTCGGGTGCCCCGTTCCGCTAAATATTGTTCAAAGGCTAAGGCAGTAAATTGGGGCCCATTGTCAGAGATCAGGACATCAGGTAGGCCGTGTGTGGCAAAGAGTCTATTCAGTTTTTTGATGACTGCCTCAGTCGTGGTTGCTTTCATTTTATTGACCTCAAGCCAGTTAGAATACGCATCTACAGTTATTAGGAAAGTGTGGCCTCTAGTAGTTCCCGCAAAGTCAATATGGATGCGAGACCAGGGACCCCTGGGTGTTTCCCATTCTGCTGGTGTAGCTTTTGGGGGGCTGAGTGGTTTTCCTGGCATCTGTTACAAGAGGTGACCCAGGTTTCAATTTGTTTGTCCATACCTGGCCACCAGGCGTAACTTCTTGCCAGCGCTTTCATACGCACGATGCCCAGGTGTCCATCATGTAGCATTTGCAGGACTTTTTTTGTAGCTTGGTTGGTATAACAACTCGGTCTCCCCATAAAATGCACCCTCTTTGTGTGAAAAGCTCTGTTTGTCTGTTTTTAAATGGCTTAAATGTTTCCTTAAGGTCGTAGTCTGGCCATCCCCTCTCCACCCAGCCAAGAACTCGTGCCAAACAAGAGTCTCTTTTGGTTTCAAAAGCGATGTCCTGGGCTATTAGTGGAGGTGAGGGAATTGTCTTGATTTGAAGTACCAGGAGCGTGGGAGCTGGGTCTTCCTGTGGCTTGGGTAGGGGAGAGCAGCTCAAGGCATCTGCATGAGGAATAGATTTCCCCGGGTGATACTTTAATTGATAGTCGTAGGCAGCGAGAAATTCCAACCATTGCATCATTCTGGGGGAGAGAATGTGTGGGGTAGGTTTGTTGCCCGCCAAAATGCCAAGTAGTGGCTTATGATCTGTGATAATAGAAAATGGTCTCCCATAAACATATTCATGAAACCTTTTAGTTGCAGAGACAATAGCAAGGGCTTCCTTATCTAAGTGGCTATAGTTTCTTTCTGTTTTTGATAGAGTTCTTGAAAAAAATGCAATTGGTGCCTCTGAGCCATTTGGTAGGACGTGGCTCAGGATGGCCCCCACCCCAAATGGTGAGGCATCACAAGTAACAGTCAAGGGGAGTGTCTTGTTATATTGAATTAGTACTGCATTAGAGGTAAGGAGGTCTTTTACTTGCTGGAAGGCGTGTTCCTCCCGACATCCCCAAATCCAGGAGGCCCTTTTATCGAGTAGTCTATGAAGGGGCTCAGCACCTTCTGGGGTAGGAAGATGTTATAAAAGTTAATAAGTCCCAGGAAGGCTGGGAGGTCAGTTTTGTTTTTGGGTCTTGGGGCATTTTTGATGGCTGCCAATTTCTTTTCTGTAGGGTGGATTCCTTGTTTGTCAAGGAGGTAGCCAAGAAACTCCACCCTTTCTGTGCAAAGCTGGCACTTTTCCTTCTTAACCTTGAGGCCAGCATCTTTGAACCTTTGTAGGACTGTTCTGAGGTGTTTCTCTAATTGACTTTTTGTGGGTGCTGCTATTAATACGTCATCAAAATAGGGCACGACCCCTTTTATCCCTTGTAATAGTCTCTCCATCAGGCTTTGAAAGATGCCTGGGGCTACACTTACACCAAACTGGAGCCTGTTGCATTTGAATGCCCGCCAGTGTGTGACTATAGTTTGGGCTTCTGCCGCCTCGTAATCAACTGGCAGCTGTTGATACGTTTGGGCCAGATCTAATTTTGCGAATATTTTGCCACCCCCAAGTGAATGCAGGATATGTTGAACGACTGGTACTGGGTAGGCGCTCTGCTGTAGTGCGTGATTGAGGGCGGCCTTGTAGTCACCGCAGATTCTTATGGACCCGTCAGGCTTTATGGGGGTGACAATTGGTGTTTCCCATCAGGCGTGGTCAATGGGTTCTAATACGCCTTGTGCAATTAATTTGTCCAGTTGCTCATCAATTTTGGATTTGAGAGCAAAGGGAATGCGGAGTGGCTTTATGGGTGCAATGTCGGGGTGAAGATTAAATGAAATAGGGGACCCCTTGTACTTGCCTAGGCTTTCGTTGAACACTTCACGGAAGTCATGGATGAGGGCTGCCTCCCAGTCATTGTCTTCAGTATGATGGATGCCAGCCATTCCGATTCCTAATGACGCAAACCACTGAAGACCCAATAGACTTGGCCAGTCTCTGTCTATCATGGTGAGTGGTAGAATTGCATTATGTCCCTTGAAAGAGACCTGGAAATGGTGGGTACCTGCGACTGGAATCTGGTTGCCTTGATAGTCTTTCAGTATGAGTCTTTGACTGCTGAGGTCTTGGCATCAGATGTTGGGGATCAGTTGCTTGAGTGTTTTCCAGGATACCATGGATAGTGATGACCCAGAGTCAACTTCCATGATGCACGGTTTATTTTCAATGGTGACCTTTACTCGGATTTTTTTAGCATCAAGTGATGAAGCATGGCCGATCGTGATGGTTTGATGAGCCTCGTCTCGTCTGGGTGTGCCGTTAAACCTTCGTGGTCTGCTGTACTGGTTCCACTAGCTGCTAGGGCGGTCCCTCTGTGTGGTAGAGTGCCATCATTCCTCTTTGGGCTGCTCCCTCTCCATCTGGGGCTGGAATTTCTCTTGTTTCTGCATACCTTCACAATATGCCCTCGTTTCTCACAAAAATGACACATGGCGTCTAAAAATCTGCATTCGGATTGAGGATGGTTTTCCCTGCATCCAGCGCATTGGTAGTTGGATTTATGACCCCACTGGTCCCGTTGCTCACGTTCTGACCAGTCTGTGGACTTCTTCCTCCTCGCTGTCTGAGGATGACTCGACATCTTCATGATGGGTGGTCGATGTGTACTTGTCTGAAGGTTTCCCAGCATCATTGGTGGGTTGGCGGTTGGTTCCGCTGGTTCGGCGCATTCGTGCTGCTGATTTACGAGTGGCTTCAGCTGCGGTGGCGTCTGCTATGGCATCTGCAAGCGAGGTGTCTCCCTTAGCCATGATCTTGCTCTGGATGGTTGGGTCTCTAAGGCCAAGGACAATGCGGTCTCTCATGGCTTCTTCGAGATTGGCGAAGCTACATAAACTGCCAGGTTCCCAGGTCTGCCACAAAATCCCCAACGCTCTCACCTTCATGCTTGTCCCTCTGATAGAACTCGTGTCTGCGGATGAGAGTTGGTACTTCTGGGGCGTAATGGTTGTGCAGGATGAGAGCAAGGGTGTCCCAATCCATGGTTTTAACTTCAGCTGGCTTCGCTAAGGCTTTAGCCATCTTAAAAACGGTTGGCCCACAAAGGGTTAGAAAAACGGCTCGTTTCTTGCTGGGCGTGGCATCTTTGAGGTTGTTGGACTCTAGGAACATTTGAAATCTGTCCATATATGAGTCCCAGTCCTTGCTAGCTGGATCAAATGGGGCGGGTGGTATAGCGCTACTGGCCATGTTGCCGTCGTTGCGCTCTATCAGCCACGTGCTCCTTCAGCTAGTTCAAATCAGTAGACTTCGTTGCCTCCGCATCCCATCCTCGTCGCCAGTGTTGGATCTGGGAGGATGGTTCAAGAGCGGAGGCAAGACTCAGATAGCAACAACAGCTCTTTATTAGTGACTTCAGATCTGAGCGAGCTATCCCAGCCGCAGCAGCCCCTTATATAGGGCTGGCTGTGGCTAGGCAGCCAATGAAGGCGATTTGAGTTTGCTGCTCTTGGCAGGGCCAATCACGGCAGCCCGTTTACTGGCCAATCGCATCAGTCTATGGCGACCAATCATGATCGGCTATTCGCGGGCCAATCAGAGTTGCAGGCTTTTGAGCCTGCTAGTCCGGAACACTGCCCATTGCCAGGAGTTCCATCCTGACTGGCTCAAAGTTGACCTCCATCCTTCCAAGGTTGGTAAACTGAGGACCCCGATTGTTGACTCTCTAAACTGCTCAGAGAGTTCTGTAAATTCCATGAAGTGCTATAAAAGTGCTTTTGCTACTTCCTTTATCAAAATCTGTTCTGTATCACTTTTGTAATCATTTTCTAGGGTAATCATTCTCTTGTTCAATACCAATATTTGTTTTCATTGAATGACTGTGGATTACAATAGGATTACATGGGAAGCCACTTTTAACAAACTACCCAGGTTGTTCCACAGCCTGGTGATTTCCTTCTTCTGACCTATCAAAATGTCCACAATGTTCCACACAGCTTCTTAGAAGTTCAGATCTGTGATTCCAAATTGCATTTGGAGATTTACCTTCTGCTTCTCACTTTAAGTACACAAATTCAACTTTCTTATTCAATTTGGAAAGCTGCTCAGAGGAAGAGAAGGTTTTTGCTTTGCATCGGATTCACTTCCTCTTACTGTGACTCTCGCACAGTAATAGACAGCTGTGTCTTCTTCCTTCAGATTGTTCATTTGCAGATACAGTTGGCTTTTGGCATCATCCCTGGAGATGGTGAAGCGTCCCTTGACTTTGTCCGAGTAGTAAATTGGAGATGAGGATGTACTTATGTAGGCCACCCATTCCAGGCCTTTCCCTGGAGCCTGTCTCACCCAGCTCATTCTGTAGCTGCTGAAGGTGAATCCAGAGGCTTGGCAGGAGAGTCGGAGAGACCCTCCAGGTCTTCTCACATCACCTCCAGACTCCACCAACTGAACATCAGATTGGACACCTAGAAAAAACAATAGTGTTTCAATGAATTCTTCTATACACAACACACACACACACACACACACACACACACACACACACACAGAGAGAGAGAGAATATAGCATACTCGAAAGAGGAAATAATTACTTTGGAGGAATACTAGTAAGGGCATCAAATTCAGCCACAGGATCATTTTTTGTGCTCCCTGTAACCAATGGAAGGAATAGATTGGAAAGGATTCAAGGAAGTGCTCAAACTTTGTGTCTTTGGGTGTAGCCTGAAAAGGGAAATCTAGTGGCTCCTTTAAAGGGCAAATTGTGCCTTGATTTACATATTGCTTGGGATAAAAGGCCCCTCGGAGCATTAATCTCACAGTTTATATCACTGATATTCACATAGCATACCACTTTTAATAAAAGTGAAAGCATACTCCTTAAACTATAAAGTGACAGAGTTAGGGTTCATCCATCCATCCATCATCCATCCAATCATCCATCTATCTATCTATTTATCTATCTATCTATCTGTCTGTCTGTCTGTCTGTCTGTCTGTCTGTCTATCTATCTACCTACCTATTAATCTATCATCTCTCTACCTATCTATCTATTATCTGTCTGTCTATCTATCTAGCTGTCTAGCTAGCTAGCTAGCTAGCTAGCTAGCTATTTATCTATTATCTCTCTACTTATCTATTATCTGTCTATCTATCTATCTATCTATCTATCTATCTATCTATCTACCTATCTAGTTATTTATCTATCATCTCTCTACCTATCTATTATCTGTCTGTCTATCTACCTACCTACCTATCTATCATCTCTCTACCTATCAATTATCTATCTATCTACCTACCTACCTACCTACCTACCTATCTATCTAGCTATTTATCTATCATCTCTCTACCTATCTATTATCTGTCTGTCTATCTGTCTATCTACCTACCTACCTACCTACCTA